AGTTTCATTTTTGGGTAAACTACTGCTTTAATGTGCATTCATAACTTCTGAAAACAGATGCTTCATCATAAAAAAAATCATATAATTAAAAAAATGTGAAAAATATAAAAAAGGGAATTGTAGATGATGCAAAAGTACCCAAGTTGTGACATTGGATGATGACATTTAAATAATCTTGAAAATAATAATGAATTATTTTTCTACTGTATTTTAATTTCCTGTGCTGTATTTCAGTAATATTAAGGCATTTTACTCAAAGCAACTTGTAGACAACAACCTTTAATTTGGCTTCATGTAAAATAAAGACCCAGACTCATTGGAAAATCTGCCTCTACCAACATTTTTGCAAATCTCAAAAACTTAGCTATACATACAATTATACAATTTGCTGCAGTTTTCAAAACAGAGGCACTAGAGGCAGTAAAATACCAAATACTTAAACACATTTTTTTAATTTTCTTTTGCAAATTATGATTACGGGACAAAATATACAAAAATATGTCATATTTATATATTTTGTATAAAAAAATATTTTATTTTATAAAATATATTATTATTATTATTTGACTTACATACATGACATGTTGTACACTGTAAAAAAAATGCTGTCGTTTTTACAAAATAATTTTGGCAGCTGTGGTTGCCAGAATAATTTAGTAAAAAAAATACAGAAAAACTGTAAACACATTTACGGCCAAAAACTGTAAATTCTAACTGTAAGAAAATTTGAATGTAAACCAGTAAATTCAACAACGCACACTGCTATTCAAATCTGTTTTGTACTTTTAACATACTGACAACCACCATAATAATGCAGGTGGTAAAAGAGAAAGCCACATGAAGAATCAAAGCTCATCACAAGTAGCTTCGCCACAATCAGAAGTATATACTAATATATAGAAGGTGCACAGAGTCATTCATGCAAACACTAAACACCATTATGGTAACACACATGATACTTAAATAATGCATTAAACTTTCATTAAACAACAGAAGATGTAACATAAAGCCCAAATATACATAACTAATAACAAAAACTATTTTAAAAACATGATTATTTAAACAAAATACTTTAAAATGTGGAGTGTCATGCAGGGAATTCTGGGAATATCAGTTTACATTTTTTACTGTAAATTATACATTGATTTGGTATTTATTACTTCTAAAAACTGTCAAATTAACAGCATTTTACTGTAAAATTACATGAAATGTCTGGTTAGATATTTTACAGTTTTTCCCTGTATTTAGTACGGGAACTTACTGTTAACCTATTAACAGTTTTTTTCCGTAGCGTTTTTACAAAATTTTACAGTTAAAATACACTTATTTTTTACAGTGTAGCTAATCATGAGTGTCTAACTCTGAAGTAGTGCATCTAGGGTGCACTTGATGGCAATTCCAGGAATGGAGAATGGAGTTTCCAAATGTTTTGCTTCAATTTTGAACAATTTATCAACTTTTCTATAATCTACATTATAAGAAACCTCTTTGAAGAAATATTTAGCTTGAAAGTTGCTTATGCTTTATTTTATTAACATAAATTGCAATTGATTTAATATTTATTTTGAACAATTTATCAACTTTTCTATAATCTACATTATAAGAAACCTCTTTGAAGAAATATTTTGCTTGAAAGTTGCTTATGCTTTATTTTATTAACATAAATTGCAATTGATTTAATATTGAGCTTTTTTATATGGAAGTATACAATTTAGATTTTTTAAAAGTCACAAGATATGAAGTCACAGTTATGAAAAATAAAGTAGACCAGTGAAACTATACATTTATTTACATGCTATGAATTGAAATGCAATAATTTTGTCATCCCAAAACTAAGTAGAATTCGTAATATGTTTTTACAAAATCAGAATTATTTTTTTCACTCATGTAGCTTTCTTAAAAAATGTTTTCTTTAAAGACTTTCAGTGCTCAGCTTATGATTCTGCTCTCACATGCTATTCTGCGTTTGCACTTTGGAAAACACATCAGTCACTGGACATGGTTGTAAAGTATTATATGTTGAGAAGCCTTCCAGAGCTTTGAGTAAGTCTCCAACATTTCTCAAAGCTTGAAGACAGAATTATTCAGCACAAAGCAGTTGTTAATGTGGCCAGTTGAATAATAAAACCTGCAGTTTGTTCCAGCCTTCTAAACACTGGAACGGCGGTGAAAACATTCGATAAACCATGGGCACTGTGCTTCATTATTTCACAGCTAGTGTGAAATAATGAAATCTCCAATGAAAAATGCAGGATTCATTGCCAATCCACATCAAGGTAAACAACTACATGAATCTCAACCAGATCCTCTTGATTTCTGCTCTGTTTTGGTTTAATCATTGTTTGACTACATTTGAGCACAACATTCTGCAAACAGTCGACATTGAATTGACGTCCTCATTGCCGTCAGTTAGTCATGTCTGAGCAGATCAAAACCAGACCCCGTCGTTGCCTAGGCGACGCATAATTTGATGACCGCCGTAAGCCAAGCTGGAAAACGTTTGGAGTCCAACCAAGGCAGAAGAACATAAATCAGTGGTGATCTATAGGCTCTGGCCACAGTCTCTACACCATTCAATAATGTCTCATCCAGTGTTGGACGTAATGCATTATTAAAAATAACATGTAATCAGGTTATTTTATTCAAGTAACTAATAATACAGTAACACATTACTTTCACATGTACAGTTACTTCTTCAAATAAGTAATGCCAGTCGCTTTGTTTTCTCACGTATTGACTGAAAGCTCTCCTGTCCGCATGTTGACAGAAATCATGAGTGAGTGCAGAGGTGTTGTGTGTGCTGTGTGAACATGATGCATGATGCTTTCGCACCGGAGGAACCTTTTCATGGTTCCTAGAACTGGAACTAGGAACAGTTTTAGTTCTGGGAACTCCATTTGAAGTAGTACTTCAGAGTAGGGTCTAAAACAGATCTGTAGGAACTACTGACGTAAGTGTACACTGATTGGCCAAACACGTACAAAACACCAGCTACCTGGCATTTTTAAAAAGCTATCTAAAAATATTTACTCCACGAACATGGGAAACAGCGATAACGGCATTTACCTGTTGTCTGCAGCGTTGTATTCTTTTCTCATCCTCGATAACACTGCAAGTTGTAATAGGAGAATTAGTCAGATTTTCATGCTCTTGCAATCACGTAACTTGTGCGTTTACATTACATCGCCATTATCACGAAACCCACAACACAACCAAAACAGCTCAGATTACGACATCCTCCAACGGTTGTTGATGTTTGTTAAAGCCGTGAATAAAGACGTCGCTGTCGGTGCGAATGCAACCAGGAAAACGGCCCATGGGGGAAACTGGTTCTCTAGGGACCACCCTGCTGGCTATTTCTTGAACTGAGTTCCTAGAACTACGCGATGCGAAAGCGCCTGATGTTACTGTAGTGCAGTATTGGGGAAAGTTACTTTTAAAAGTAATGCATTACAATATTGCGTTACTCCATAAAAAAGTAACTAATTATGTTACTTAGTTACTTTTTATGGAAAGTAATGCGTTACATTACTTTTGTGTTACTTTTTAAATCTGGACAGGGCTTGCTTGTTTGTTTTTAAAATCAAAAAGTTATATTTTTGGCAAATATAAAAGCCTTTTCACACCCAAAGTGAAATGAATACGCCTCGGGCTGAAGGGAAAGTACATTTACATCTGTACAGTAGAATGCAGAAGAAGACATTTCAACACACTTCAGCAAAAAAAAAAAGACAGACGAATGTTTGTCTAGAATAATATTTGCTTATCAGTACGGTTGAACTGGATCATCGAAGGTCAGAAGCAAAGACATTGGTTAATAGAATGGGATTAAATACGTAAAGAATATTTGTGTTGTTTAACATTTAATTTTTGCAGGTTTGCGTCATATTCTGAGTTGCATTATTTGTATTCATTTTGAGGAATACTGAATCTGTGTTTTTTTTTTGTGAGTGAGATTAATTAATGCATATTCATATTTATTTTAGTAACAGTAACATTTGATTTCCCTCAACATGGGGACAGGAGAGCTGTCAGTCAATAAATTGGGGAAAAAAGTAATTTACGTTACTCAGATATTCTCTTGTAAATTAAAAAGTAATGCGTTACTTTACTAGTTACTTGAAAAAAGTAATCTGATTACGTAACTCGCGTTACTTGTAATGCGTTTCCCCCACACTGCTGTATTGTCATCATGCATTTGCTCATCACACTTGCACAAAAACAGATTCAGTATTCATCAAACTAAATAAAAACTGTGAAATGCAAACTTTGAATATTACACAAACCTGCAATTATTAAATAAGTTAAATAACACTAACGTCCTTTATGTATATTATCACATTTTATTAATCATTGTCTTTGCTGCTGACCTTCGATGATCCAATCCTTCAATACAATCATACTAATAAGCAATAATGACTTTAGATTAGGGCTGTACAATTAATCGAAATTCTAATCGTGATTATGGATGCCACAATTACGTAATCGTTCAAAGCGGCTATTAATCGTTCAAAGTCCACTTATGTTATTCTGCGTTCTTAAGATGCATTTTGTTTTCTTTCTACATGTTATCTTAAGGGTTTTTCCCATTATTTTAATTTTAGTTTTAGTATAACATTATAATACATATAACTTTTTTATAATTTAAAGAAGAAACCAATCCGATGTATATTTGACATTTGAGGCTTAATACTATAGAAAAGCATGTTTATTTTCATATTTAAAAGCTTGTTTATTTTCATATAAAAATACTGCATGCAGTTGCATCAAACAATGGTATGAACATAATTTCAAACAATGGTATGAACATAATTTAATGTAAATTAAAGTGATAATCGTAATAATCGCAATTACCATTTTGAGGGAATAATCGACAACTATGATTTTTGTCATAATCGTGCAGCCCTACTTTAGAGAAACTTTTTTTTTGTTTTATTGTTGAAGACTGTTACACGCGGAGAGACAGAAAGAGAGAAGCATGACAGCTATCGACCCCAAAGTTAAAAGCATGGGTATGGATGAGGGAAGCGGCCATTAGCACCATCCTGGTCTCGTGCCGTATGGACGCGTCTCGTCTTGTGTTCCGGGCCTTCACCCTGGTTTCCCGTGTCCTCCTGAATGAGCTCCACGAGTAGATCCTGTAGCTGTTTTCTCACAGCCCACGAACGCTTGGCGTCCTCCCCGCCGTCTATCTCAGCGCACTCCTGCACGGCTCGCTGCAGCGCCACCTGCAGGGGTAGCCCCGCTTTAGCACCGAGCAGCGTGGGAGAAAACCAAGGCCTGAAGATCTTCTCACAGATCACCTGCGGAGAGACAGAAAGAGAGAAGCATGACAGCTATCGACCCCAAAGGGAAAAGCATGGGTATGGATGAGGGAAGCGGCCATTAGCGCCATCCTGGTCTCGTTTCATCATCTCCGGAGCAATCATCAGCCATATTCGCTATGTGTGCCGTTTGAAAGCAATGGTCTCTTCGACCCAAAGGCCTGAACGTTACAAAGCCCTCATTGTTCTGAATGGCAGGCCATACAATGGGAAAGTAGAGGTCACCAAGGGTTGTGTTAAGTGATCGAGAACGGAGAGATGGGCTCTGTCTCAGCCACCTGTGGCCCGGAGCTGGACTTGGTTTCATGCGACCAGCTCGTCTGTTAGCTTGCTCTCCTTAAGGGGAGTTGGCACTGACAGCAGGTGTTGACTTCGAACGAACCGCAACGAACAGATGAAAGACGTTGTGTGATTGTGGCAAAGCATCTAATGGAGAAATGAAACCTGCATATATTTGTAATGGTGACGGCATTAAAAAAAAATAGTATTTATTGTCTTCAACTTGTAGTAACTTCATCGCAAATAATATTTTTGTAACTTCGGTGACCGTTGTTGTAGAGTATGTTTGAATCTGTTTGTCTCGAAGGTGATACAGATCTGTGGTTTCTATGGAAGCTTATTTACACCACAGACAGAAACTCTTTTTTAATTTAATAATTACATGTTACTCTTATGGTCATCTGTCTCTAGTAATTTCATTGCAACTTATTTTCCTCTAACGTAGCACAGATCTGTTTTTATGGAAGCTTATTTCTGCCACAGAACCTTTTATTTTGCAGTTTTGAGTTTGTATCCCACTATTCCCTCTATTTTTTCTAAAAATCTGAATTGTGAGATATAAACTATAAACTTGCAATTTCTTCGACCCAAAGGCCTGAACGTTACAAAGCCCTCATTGTTCTGAATGGCAGGCCATACAATGGGAAAGTAGAGGTCACCAAGGGTTGTGTTAAGTGATCGAGAACGGAGAGATGGGCTCTGTCTCAGCCACCTGTGGCCCGGAGCTGGACTTGGTTTCATGCGACCAGCTCGTCTGTTAGCTTGCTCTCCTTAAGGGGAGTTGGCACTGACAGCAGGTGTTGACTACGAACGAACCGCAATGAACAGATGAAAGACGTTGTGTGATTGTGGCAAAGCATCTAATGGAGAAATGAAACCTGCATATACTTGTAATGGTGGCGGCATTAAAAAAAAATAGTATTTATTGTCTTCAACTTGTAGTAACTTCATCGCAAATAATATTTTTGTAACTTCGGTGACCGTTGTTGTAGAGTATGTTTGAATCTGTTTGTCTCGAAGGTGATACAGATCTGTGGTTTCTATGGAAGCTTATTTACACCACAGACAGAAACTCTTTTTTAATTTAATAATTACATGTTACTCTTATGGTCATCTCTAGTAATTTCATTGCAACTTATTTTCCTCTAACGTAGCACAGATCTGTTTTTATGGAAGCTTATTTCTGCCACAGAACCTTTTATTTTGCAGTTTTGAGTTTGTATCCCACTATTCCCACAATTTTTTCTAAAAATCTGAATTGTGAGATATAAACTATAAACTTGCAATTGCGAGTAAAAATATAATAATGTCATAACTGTGCGATAAAAAGTTGCAATTAATGCAGTTTAACTTCTGATGGCAATAAACTATAAGAATAGTTTTTGCTAAAATCATTGAATTTTACATGATCGGTTTCTGATCTGAGTCATTTGCATATCTGGTAATAAATCAGATATTTTGTTTTTTTTTATGACTGTTTATTTGTCGCTGAACTATCCCTTTTAACCCTCGCATGGCGGTGATAAATTTACTTTTTAATAATCCCTTTTTTTTTTTTTTGGCATTTTAACTCAGTGTGGCTTACGTGTTTTTTTATTATTATTTAATTTAAGTTTTTAAAAATTGTAACCTAAAGCTATAAAACTAAGATGAACATTCCAAGGTGGGGTGTTTCACACATACGGGTCAGTTTAGAAACATCTAATATGTGCTGTTTAAAAAAAAAAAAAAAAAGTCATAAGACGAATTTTAATTGTTGGCTTGCGGTTTGAATACAGCATTATTTATTACACAAATATCATGTGCAAAATGTAGCTTATCTCAAATGAGCTGCAGCCTGTTGCGGTTGACTGTAGCCACAACTGATGATGATCTGTTAAGTTTCTTCCTTTGTTTGGCCCTGTTAACCCCCATTGTGTTTAGGAGCAGTAATGAAAGCGCTATCTGATTCCCTTCAGCATTATCATGAACTATTAACATTCCCTGCATTTTTCTTGGCAATGTTTACCGCTGAAGAACGACTGTCTCCTCCGGCTATTTTACTGGTATTCCTTTGTGACAGTTTTCCAAAACAAAGTCGTTTTCTTTTCACTTTCAGCACCTTACATATATAATTGCTAACCACATACTCCATAGGATTATTGAATGCTGAAATATAGAAGAATTGATGCAAATTATTAAAGAATTAGAGTATACAATGGAGTCAGAATAATGAATGCCTCGCTCACCTGAAGGTTACTGTTCTTGCGCTTTGACCCACATCTGTTTTTAGTTTTGTCACACTTGGAAATGCAGTCGAAGAAGTTGCAGTCATTGTCACTGGTGCAGTTCTGCTCAAGTATGTCTCTCATTTTGGGCTCAAAAAAAGCCATATCCACATCTATAGCCACCACCTGTTCAGTGAAAAATAAAATAATAATCAGAAATGCAAAGTAAAGTATTTATATATATGTATATATATATACAGTCCAAAACCGCTTAAATATTCTAGTATTCAAAATCCAATTTAAACCTAGAAATAAAAAATATATCAAAATAAAATAAATTTAATATTCTACATTATTTCTAGGACGCTAATCAAATAAGTAATTTTTTTCTGTCATATTTACAAACCCCTTTGTATATATCAGATGTTTTTGCTTACATTGTAAAAATACTAAAACTAATAATCAAGATAAGAAAAATCTTATAACTGACATTATGCAATCATTTGCTTAGAGAAAAAGCAAAATAGACAATATTTTAATAGTTGTCTCAGACTATTAGACATAAATAAGACTGTATTAATTAAAAACAGATATTTAGAGATAACACATTCATTTCAGATGGATAGATCGACTGAATAAATGGCACAGGATTTACTCATTCAGAAAATTTTACAAATAAACAGCAAGTAGTACTGAATTAAACATGAAATTTTGATGTAGTATTTTCTTGTAAAACATTCTAGAAGCTAATTTTTGTTTTACTTTCAACTTTGAAAATCATTTTTACAAGATAGATAGATAGATAGATAGATAGATAGATAGATAGATAGATAGATAGATAGATAGATAGATAGATAGATAGATAGATAGATAGATAGATAGATAGATAGTCGAATACTGTATACAGTACATAACTTCTGCGGGCAGCTCTTAGACTAATACGATATGGTAAGAATTGACAAAGCTGTTTTTTTGTTGCCGCATGCTTAACTTTTTGTTTTTGAATAAACTTGTGAATTAAATTAACATATCCTCCTACATAAACAAGACAGGACAGTCAGTGATATTTCTAAAGGGTTTTCACAGCCAATACAGACTCTCAGAAATCTTCCAAAGAATCTTACATATATTATTTTATGCATTTTGCATTACACAGCATTTTGTTGATCTGGCACTGATTGATGGGAGGCATAGCAACACAAGCTGCATGATGTCAGGTGTTGTTTACAGTACGCTAAAAAAACCCATGATACCCTCCGAATGAGCAGCATGTATCTCAGTCTCATCGGCTTCACTGGAACATAAATGTGACCCTGCAGCACAAAAGCAGTGTTAAGTCGCTGGGGTATATTTGTAGCAATAGCCAAAAATAGATTGTATGGGTCAAAATTAGAAATTTTTCTTTTATGCCAAAAATCATTAGGATATTAAGTAAAGATCATGTTCCATGAAGCTATTTTGTACATTTCCTACCGTAAATATATTAAAACTTAATTTTTGATTAGTAATATGCATTGCTAAGAACTTCATTTGGACAACTTTAAAGGAGGTTTTCATCAATGGACAGCTTATTTATTCAGCTTTCAGATGATGTATAAATCTCAATTTCGAAAAATTGACCCTTATGACTGGTTTTGTGCTCCAGGGTCACATATATCATGTGTAATGCCAAGCATTTGCTGTATAGATCGGCAGACTCTAAATATTCATTTTCATCTCTTTTTGAATCATGATCATGAGATCTGAAAAAACATTTTAGTTTACATTATAATTCTCTTGCTTGTAAACTGACATTGCTAAAATAGTTGGCATGTGTTTGAAGAATTAAATGTTGATATAACATGTTAGCTATGATAACCTTACTATAATAATTATAGTAATTATTAAATATTATTAACTACAATCATAATTATCTTAATAACCTGGAGTATTTGGACCATAATAAGCCTCGGGCAGCAGCTCTATAAGGAAATCTTTAGGAAATGTAATTGAGCAATCAACACATTTTTCTTGTAGTGTATTTCATAATTTTGCCAACAGTGAGACAAGCATGGTTCCTCAGGAAAACGAATTATAACAATGCTTGACTATAATAAATATTGCAGAATAATCTAATAACAAAAAACGAATTATTACAATAATACTCCAATCTAATACTGGAAAGATATACAGTATATGCTCTTCATATAAATGTTTTCATTAGATTTGGATCCTTGGGTAATTCATTTAACCACAATCACATAGTAATGAACAGTAAACCGCATGCATCAGTTCATACTTTTCTGATTAAATGAAATGATTTGGCAGATCATTTGTATGGTTGACCACTCTAATAAGAGTCTATAATAACCAGCTGGTGAAGGCGTCCAAAAACGTCTATAACTATTGTCCCAAATCATGCCTTAAAACCACAATTTAAGGCCTTAAAAACTCATAAATTGCATTGCAAAAATGGATCTTCCACAGTATTTTTGTTTTGTTTTCAAATACAAATATCTAAACATACTTAAGTCTTGTTTTCTAAAGAAAATTCATCAAAATTAAGTGAGTTTATACTTAAAACAAGAAGAAATATCTAAGTGAAAACATTTGAATTAAGTAGATATTTTGAGCCCATTGACAGGTGTTTGTTTGTAAACTTGCTTAATTTAGATCAATTTATGTAAATGTATCTCAAGTAAATGTAAAAGAATCTTTAGACATTTGCACTGGAAAACAAGACAAAAATACTGATGAAGAACAGAAGAACATCACTTTTTTCCATTCAAAAGTAATGGATATTTTTTGGAAGTCATATTTTCAGACTTTTAAATGTGCTCCCTAGACATTTACATTTAGAGAATATATTGACGTATTGTGTTTCCTTTCTTTTTATTCCTTAAAATAAAAAGTCTTATTTTTTTCACCCACAATTTAAGGCCAGAAATTCTTACATTTATAGCCATGGCATTAAATGTTGCAAAATGTTTCTCAAGTAAATATATCTTGGTTTAAGAATCTTTATACATTTTCACTGGAAAACGTCACTTTTTTTTGCAGTGTGATCAGAAAGTGCGGTAAAAGTTATTTCTATTCTAATGACTTGGAGCAGAGCTATTCAAGCCATCAATTATTTATTTATGAAACAAATTAAAAAGTAATGGAGATCTTTTGGAAGTTATATTTTTTAATGTTATGCTCCCTAGACATTTACATTTAGAGAGTATATTGACATATTGTATTCTATTTATTCTTCTATCCATTCTACCTAGTCTTTAAATTTTCTTTACTTCTTGTCTTCAATTGACCTTCATAAACCCTGCTGTTAAGCGTTAACTCACCGTCAGGTCCTTCCTGATAGCAAAGTTCTCTGGTTTGATATCACAGAGGTGTAAGCTGTGGGAAAAGTCATTCTCAAAATGCTCCACCATCTCTAGAAAGCTCAGGGCCACTCGGGGCACCATGTCTCTCGCGGTTATCGTCTTCTCCTGTCCGCTCCAGGGGCTCGGCGAGGGGCTCAGCGTCAGCTCATCCAGCGAGAATATGTGCTGGTCCCACGCGTGTCCGGCCGCCAAGTACTCCACGGCGTAAAAGTGACCACAGGAGCCCAGGATCTTGGCCACGTGGTGGGTTAAATCCTGCAGGACCCTGAGGAAGGTGTACTCCTCCTGCTGAAGGAGAGCCCAGAGCGAGGCCAACTCCGCTCGCGAGTACGTCCGCTCGTTCTCTTTCAGCTTTTGGCCCCACAAGCGGGGCAACGTCAAGTTAGTTCCCGTCTCCAAGCCCAGAGAGTTCTTGATCTCCAGCGTGGCGTAGAAGACGACATCCAGCGGCGAGAGCTCCTCCTCGCCTCCCGCTGTATCCTGATACTCCAGCAGAGCTAAAGCCTCATAGGAGGAGAAGTTCTCCAGCTTTGACTTGAGAACAACAGGCACCCCACGCCAGCTGGCGGCCATGACCTTCTTGCCATTCTCGTAATAGAGGCAGCGTTTGTATTCCACACGACCGGCCACGCAGAGGTCCTCACAGAGGTCACCGGTCAGAACTCCCTGCTGATACTCGGCACACTGAAACAGAGACACATTAGAAGTGAAATGTGCGCTGTGATTGTGGTTTGGCTTCTATCGGCAGTGATTTAGACACCATATATATATATATATATATACACTGCCGTTCAAAAGTTTGGGATCAGTAAGACTTGTAATGTTTTATAAAGAAGTCTCTTCTGCTCATCAAAGCTGCATTTATTTGATCAAAAATACAGAAAAAACTGTAATCTTGCGAAATGTTATTAGAATATAAAATAATGGTTTCTATTTTAATATCCTTTAAAATATCATTTATTTCTGTGACGCAAAGCTGAATTTCCATCAGCCATTACTCCAGTCTTCAGAGTCACATGATCCTTCAGAAATCATTCTAGAATGCTGATTTATTATTAGAATTATCAATGTTGGCAACAGTTGTGCTGCCAAATGTATATCTGTACTGTATAGCTCGCAAGTCTGACTTTGTCTCTCGTAATTATGACATTATTTCTCACAATTAGGAGTTTGCATCTCACAGTTCTGACTATATTTCTTCCAATTGTGAGTTTATATTGCAATTCTTCCATAGCTTTCAACATGGATAATAATCAGAAATGTTTCTTGAGCAGCAGATCAGCATATTATACTGATATCTGAAGATCATGTGACACTGAAGACTGGAGGAATGATACTGAAAACACAGCTTTGATCATAGCAATAAATGGCATTTTGAAATATGTATTAAACATTTTAAATTTAAATTTCACAATATTACTGTACTTACTGTAATTTTGACCAAATAACTGCTGCTTTTGTAAGCATTAAAAGATACTTCTTTCAAAAATGATTTTAAAAATCTAATCAAAGTAGACAGTAGTCAAAGTAGATTATGTACATAAGTACATGTCAGAATAAGTATGTTGATTTGTTATTTAGTAAGTTATTTGAAAAATTAAACTAGACGCTTTCTTACTTGCTTACACTGAATATGTATATATAAAAACTTTAGATTTTACCATTATGTTTATTATTTATATTCCTAGGAAGTCAAGTACCAATTTTGATAGTCTCAGTATGATGTGTGTCATGTCAAACTAATTTTCATAGCGTTCAAGCTGTTTTTAATCAAGGCACGTATCTTAATTCCATCTCATATCACACTTATTGAATATGTGCCTATGTTGAGATACGGCACTACTGCCACCTGTCAGCATATTTTACTGGCATGCATGAAATTCACATATTTAATCTTGCAAAACAGTCTAATAATCATTTTTATGCGGGGTGTTAAAACCGATCTGCTTTTGCTCTTGCATTTTTCCTCTTTGACCATCTCATGAAAAATGAGGTAATTACTGGTTGTTGCTGCAGTCCGCACATATATATGTCAGTTCAGGGGCTCCGGGGCTTCGGATGATTTGTGTTCCACAGAGATTACACCGCAAATCGTCCTCTGTCACCTTCCAAAGTAAACAGCTGTTATCCGCACTCAGTCCGGCTCATACAGTATCTGCATTGGCTTGAGCATGTTAGCGATGATCACATTATGATTATCAATCATAATGGTTTGGTGGATGATCTCCCATCCCTTGCTTGTCCCTTTACATAAAATATGTCCTCTGTGTTAAAAAGGCCTGCTAAAGCTTTTTACTGTTGTGTCATAAAACTGAACCTCACACATTTGTATGATTAAAAATGGCTAAAAATGGCAGTGATAACACTAGATTTTTATTGATTCTCTGAAGACAGTGTGAGTGACTGTCACTATGCCAACATCATGTGGATGTGCAAATTGTCTCAGGTCATAAAGTCTGTGATATTTTGGCTTGGATTTATGGCATTTTTTAATTTGTGTTTCATCGGAAATCTTAAGTTTGAACACATAGAAAAGTAATAGCGTTGTGGGATTAAAATTGGAGCAGATGGTGAAGGCATCAAAAAGTTTATAAATGCTCTTTCTTACGCAAATAACAGTGGCAATGATGCCAATACATTTTTTTTACCAATTCTACCAAAAATGCTGGAGTTTCTTGGTAATTTCAGTGAAACTGTAGCTGTGTTAAAGCAGTTGTTCATCAAAAAAGGAACATTTGCTGACAATGTACTCGCCCTCAAGTCATCCAACATGTAGATGAGTTTGTTTCTTCATCAGATTTGGAGAAATGTAGCATTGCATCACTTGCTCAGCAATGGATGCTCTGCAGTGAATGCGTGCCGTCAGATTGAGAGTCCAAACAGCTGATAAAAACATCACAATAATCCACACCACATCACTCCAGTCCATCAGTTAATGTCTTGTAAAGCCAAAAGCTGTGTGTTTATGACAAACAATTCCATCATTAAGATGTTTTTAACTTAAAACCATCACTTTTGGCTAAAATATAAGAGTCTATAATCCATAATAACGCTTCCTCCAGTGAGAAAGTACATCCCCTGTTGTCCTCTCACATCAAAATCCACCCACAGATTTATTTAGAGCTGTTTTGGCTTGTAAATGGTGCATGATCTGTGCAGATTTCTCTCCTGATTCAGACAAGTATCCACTGGAGGAAGCGTTGATAGTACAGGACTTGTATTTTTACGTGGAAGCAAATGTAGGAAGTTAAAAACGTCTTAATGATGAATATGTTTCTTACAAACAGCTTTTGGCATCATAATATAATAACTGATGGACTGGAGTGCTGTGGATTACTTGTGGATTATTGTGGTGTTTTTATCAGCTGTTTGGACTCTCATTCTGACGGCACCCATTCACTGCAGAGCATCCATTGCTGAGACACTGATGCAATGCTACATTTCTCCAAATCTCCAATGAAGAAATATTGGTAAACTATTTCTTTAAGAGTGTATTAAATTCACATCATGTGTACTTTTTAAGTAAAGTTCGCATTTTCCTGATTCTGATTGTGACCGTGCTTTGAAAGCAATTACAGACAACTAAATTACTGTACAGTTTTCTCTCCAGCATGTGAGCGTGTTTCTTCTGCACCAGTAGATACGTACAAGTAATAATAATAGCCAGCACCAGTAGTTACCTGAGTTACTCCCAGTTGGTCGCTTTACCATGACAGCAATCTTGAATAAAGCACTTGAATCTCAGAGGTCTGTTATCAGCTCGACTGAGTCTAAACATAGAAAGAGCTTCCTCCCTACAGACCCTCTCATGGGCCTCTCACGGTGTTTATGTGGGCCAAACACGCATGTTGTGCTCTGTGGTCACTCTGCGGCTTCTGCTCTTTTTTCGACACTGTAAGTGCCAGCCAAATTCCCCACATGTGTTTTAATTCTTCAGATGAGACGACAGCTCCTGTATGCATGTAAACTTTCCCACTGTGAGGCCCAAATCCAATGTATGTTTGTGTTTCCGTATAGAAAGCATTTAGAGATTTGAAAAATGAATGTGTGTAGGCAGAGAAAACAGAGACTCGGCTCGGAGAAAGTGACTCGTATGTTGTAAATCATGGCTGTGTTTGTAATCTAGTGGTTAGGATGACAGAATTTTTGGTACAAGAAAGAAGATTAAGTACTGGATTTGGCAGTTCTCAGAACTTTGGCAATGTTCTCTCAAAGTTATGAACAAATGTTTTCCAGTAACGATTAGTTAGGAATGCTAGTTTAAACTTATCTGGTCTTAAATAATGTTCTCAAAACATTAGCACGAAAATTGTATTTCTACATCACTCATAGGATGTTTTTCTTCTAAAATGGTTTAGGTGGACGCTCATCTAACGTTTTTTTTTTAATGTTACGACTTGTTCAGGGAACATTCAAAAGTAACATTCCCATAATGTTTGCAAAATTCTCAAATAGAATGTTCCTGCATTTTTGTAACAAAGAATTATGAAAAAAATTAAACATTTAGAAATAATCTTTTCATAACTTAATGGGAAAATTTGAAAAAACGTTCTTATAACATACTTTTGGTTGGTTTGGCACATCATGTCTGATGCTTTTAATCTGAATATTTTAAATGAACTATAGTAATTTATTTATTTATGTATTTGTTTATTTATTCATTTATTTATATTTGTGGTTGCATTTACTAAATACACATCACATTCTTAACATAATTATAATTTATTTATTTATTTGTCATGGAAAAATCTATAAGCATTGAATATTTTTGGCTTAATGACATACTGTATACACATTGTGGAATTTTTAGTTCCAGACTAAAATTAGGCTCTGGAAATATGCATCCTCTATCCAGTCAGGCTGTTGATAGTTAGGCTATATATTTAGCACTGTTTGCATCAAGCATCACTAATACTAGCTTATGATTTGTACAGCATTAAACCCTGGTACTAACTCATCCTGCACAGTTTGTGCTATAGACACGAGTCATTGTCGAGGAGAGAGGTTTGCTGTTACTAAGCAATTGCAACTTATTTTTTCACCTGGTGGAAAAACTGAAAACACACTTTCACACTGGAGGAGGCACCATATTGAGACATATCTAAGGAGCAGAAACCTAAAAGGCTCCTGCGAGTCGCGCCAGTAAGCAAGCGCAACTCCAGTGCTGAGTGAGGACATGAAATAAGAGGGAAACAATATTTTTTTTATGCTTCTGAGCATGTAAGGTAATGATTAAACATTAGGCTCCAGAGAATAGCAGTCTATTTTCTGTATTGCCATCTGGCCTGAGCGCTGGCCAGTCCCGGCATGCCAAGAATGTCTGCATAGGCTGCTCTGGGTCACTCCATCATTTTCACTTTACAAGAAACTCAATAAAACTGGGATACTGTGTACTCTTATATCCCAATAAACACATACAGTGGCCCCTAAAAGCTCCATTTAAAAACATTACATTTTATTATACACAAAAGATATAAATCAGCTGGCATCTGCAAACAAATGAATGCTCAAATAATGTTTCTGGGCCATTTTTAATCAGTTGTTTTTTTAGTTTTTTAGTGAATGTATGAAGTCAGTGTTTTACATTATATATCCTACCATTCAAAAGTTTGGGGTCAGATATAATTTTAATATGTTTTAATACTTTTATTCGGCAAGGATGCATTACATCGATGTGACCGATT